CTCTCTGCCTGCCTCTGCCTACTTGTGATCTCTGTCTGTCAAATAAATAAATAAAATTAAAAAAAAAAAGAAAAAAAATATTTTTTATTTATTTATTTGATAGAAGACACAGCGAGAGAGGGAACACCAGCAGGGGGAGTGGGAGAGGGAGAAGCAGGCTTCCGGCTGAGCAGGGAGCCCGATGTGGGGCTCGATCCCAGGACCCTAGGATCATGACCTGAGCCTAAAGCAGTGGCTTAACCAACTGGGCCACCCTGGCGCCCCCTAAAATCTTTTTTTTTTTTTTTTTTTTAAGATTAAACCTACGCTCTCCACTTTCCACCTCCCACCTGGGAAGAATAAGAATGTTTAAGTAGAAGTCATTAGAACACACACACTACACATCGCTTCTCGGTCTTTTGGCTAAGATCAAATGTAGAACACACACTACACCCACCAAAATCCTTGTTCCTCTCCTTGATTTTCCCTGGGGACAGGGAGCTCACTATCTTTCAAAGGGGCATACTATCCTTCCCATCTCTTCTACCCAGCTGCTTTGAGAAGTGTCTTCAAAGTGGAGTTGAGGCCATGGAGAGCCATACAGATGCAGCTAAGTGGTGGGAAGGCCGGGTTAGCAGAGGTGTTGGGTAGGAGACCATGAGGGTCTCAGCCACCGCAGTCTTAGGATCCCCTACCATCTTCTCTCTCCCCTCCCTCTTCAGGCCCCAGGTGCTAACTGCTCACTGTTTTGCCTACCGTGGGTGCTGCACCAGCCCTCTTGGATTTCCCAAACCTTTGCCAAGAGCCTTTCATGAAATGCTCAGTTCCCAGTTGGAGGGCCCCCGCCTGAAACATGCTGCCTGGCCCAGAAGCTATCCTGTTTCTTCCCACATGTGTCATCAGAGCCGCCGAAGGGTGCAGATACCCCAGGGCCACTCACCCATTTCACAGATGGGAAACAGAGGCCCTTAGTGGTGTGCGTGGGAGTCTATCAGTGACTCTGAGTGGCACACAAGTAGAAGGATTTTTGGTCTCAGGGCTTCTCGACATTCTTAGGGAAGACCAAAGAGCTTTTATTTTTGATTGATAAGCCATATCAGACGTTAAGACAGAGAATTTTTTTTAAAGATGACATTTATTTTTAAACAGCAATCATAAACCTATTACCAGTTAACATTAACCACATTTTATGAAAAATATATTTTCAAAAAAAGTCTTTTCCAATCCACAACGATTTAGTGGGAAGGGGCCATTATTTTACACTTTCGCTAATGTCCATCAGGTCTGGTATTCTAGAAGACAACCGGATCCTCAAGGCTGCTCCTGCACTGAGTCTGTTGTAATACCCTATGCTGTGCGCCTTCTAGAAAACTCCACCAGACACCAGTGCGAGAATGCAGTGAAAAAAGACAGAAAACATCTCCGTATGAAAATCTGACCTAGCATTGACCCTGAGAGGGTCTCGGGAACCAGTCCCCAGGTCACGCTTCGGGAACTTCTGGATAAACTTATTTAATGCTTACACCTGTGCTATGAGGTATATACTAGGTAGGAATCAACTTCGTTTTACAAAGAAAAATACTGAGGCCCAGAGAGGGGACGTTCCTTGCCCAGAGTCACACAGGAGCAGGTGGCAGACCTGGGGCTTGAACCTCAGCAGTCAGGCTCTTCCCTATGACAAAATCTGTGTGTATGTGATCATAAATCAGTTGGGTCGCATGAGTGTACCTCTCACGGCCTGGGAGAGCACTGGTCCAGGCCACAGAGCCGGGAAGTGGGGTCAGGCGACAGAAACCATTAATCCGATCTGGAATCCCCACCCTGACACCCCATCTAGTCTCTCTGGGGATAAACAGGAAAATATTATTGGCTGAAGAGACCAACAATAATGAAGCTATGTATCTCTCCATGCCTCAGTCTCCCTAGATATAAAATGGGCTTCGTAATAGAGCCCAGCTCAGAACCTTGCTATGGAGAAGAGAATGAGCGAAACAAAAGGGATTCCTGAGCTGTTGGCTGTGGTTGTCAAGAGCGGGTTGAAGAGTGTTCCTATCAGGGGCACCTGGCTGGCTCAGCCGGTAGCTCACACAACTCTTTTTCCTCTGAGATTTTATTTGTTTATTTGCCAGACAGAGAGAGAGCACAAGCAGGGGGAGCGGCAGGCAGAGGGAGAAGCAGGCTCCCCGCTGAGCAAGGAGCGGGATGCCAGACTCCATCCCAGGACCCTGGGATCATGACCTGAACCAAAGGCGAGTGCTCAACCGACTGAGCCACCGTGACCACACTTGCGGTCGCCATCCCGAGTATAGAGCTTACTTTAAAAAAAAAAAAAAAAAAAAAGAGTTTCTATCAGCCAGTGCACAGGACTGTTCAGAAGTATGTGCCTCAGTTTCCCCATCTGTCCAATCAGAGGCAGAGCCATGCCTGGTTGCCCAGACCTCTCTGCCTGCCTGGCTCTCCTAAGACCCCATCTTCATGCACTGCACTGGGGTCTCCTAGGGGGAGCTCAGAGGTTGGGGTTCCCGTCCCTGTGGTGGGGTGAGGGGAAGAAGATAAAGTCAGCAGTGAGCTGGACAGTGCGGGAGTCAGGGCCAGGGTCCCCAACAAGAAAATATGGAAGTCGGGACAGCTAAGATGAAACAGCTCCGACATCCTGTTTTGCAGCTTGGAGAGAGGACCACTCTACCATTGTGCTTTGCAGCTTTTGCAGAAACTGCTTCTGCAAAACGTCCTAAATTAAACAACCACAAAGCCTTTGTCATTATCACCAGCAAGGGGCGGTTAAGAGATAAGCCCCCAGATGTCAGCCCCAAAATACCGTCCCCACCTAGGCATTACGCTCGGAGGTAGACAGAGAGCCATCAAAACCCTGATTGGCCGCACTGAGCACACCCGGTTGCTTAAGATAGTTCCGCAAAAGAGCTCATAAAACCCCCTACACATAGAAACTCCAAGGGCAACCCTCTCAGGTCCCCTCCCTCTCTGGGAGCTTTGTACTATACTGCTCAATAACCTTTGCTTTGCTCCCCATCACTCTTCGTCTGGTCTACCTCTCCTTTTTTGGAAGCTGCGTGACCAAGAACCGCGGGCACTAGAGGAATAGAAATCCTGTAGCAGTACCCAGGATCCTGATCTCCGGAGGTCTGGGTCCCAGTCCCTGAGAGAGGATAGGTCCGGACGTCAAAGCTGGCCTTATAAGGGGAAGGGGTCTCGGGGTGCGGGGCTTCCCTTCTTGTCGAGGGCATGTTCACACCCCGAAATTCTCTCCTGGGAAAAGAGCGTCTCGAACGCCTGGATTCGCATCCCTAGCTCGGGTACTGAAGGCCAAGTCTCCGCCCCTACAGGGAGCTTGGGTGCGTGGTTGCGCGCCTTGTCCCGAGGGGCCGCGGGAGCACGGGGTTCTCTTGGGGGACTAAGGTGCTAGTTCCTCCGGATGGAGTATGGAGACTCCGGTGTTCCCCTCTCGAGATGCGGAAGCTGCGGCTCCGAGGCTCATTCTGGTGGGGGGGGGGGACCCCCGAAGCTGTCGTTGTGGGAGAGGACTCGGACAGCGGGGCAGCAGCTCAGGAGTCCCTCGCTGGGAACCGGCAAAGGCCCGAGAGGCGGGCGCGGGGCTGGCCCGAGGGGGCGGAGACTGGGTGGGCGGGGCTCCGCAGACACCGCCCCCGCCTGCCAGCGCGGTCCGCGCGTCTCCCAAGTCTGCGAGGCCGCGGTGGGCACGAGGAACCTGCCGCCACAGCCCGCGCGCCCCGCGGAGCCCGGCCTGCCCCGGGGTCTATGGGGCCACCCCTCTGCGCCGCCCGGCCGGCCCCACGCCGCGCCCGGAGCCTGCCCCGCGGCCAGGTAAGGGCGCTGTGGGTCCTGTGGGGAGGGGAAGCCGGGAGGCAGGCAGGAGGGGCCAGGGAACTCCTGGGTCCTGAAGAAACAGGGGGCCGAACTCCAGTGTGCGGGGGGGCTAGGGTAGCGGGACGCGGGTAGCCTGAGGTTGGGGGAAGGGGGACACGGATGTTTGGATCCCAGAGATATAGGGGGCTGGGTACCTGGGCACCAAGGTCTAGGGCATCTGGACACCTGGTTGGAAAGGCTTGGGGGCGGCCTGGTTACGGGGGGCGGGCGGGGGGAGAGGGTATCCTTAACGCCTAGTCCCGGAGGGATGAAGACCAAACTGAACACGTTCCTGCTTCTGGAGGATCTGAATACCAGAATACCTGGGCCCCGAGTGTCGGGTCCATCCTGCGGGCGTCCTCTGGCTGATGCTCTGGCCACTGCGTCGGGGGCCGTGGCTCGCACGCCAGGGTCTTCGGGAAGGAAGTTGTGATTGCGGATATTTGGCGGCCGGGACACATGGCCACACCCCAAGGGCCGGCGGGGGGGGGGGTCCCTGGGCAGGGCATGGGGTGGGGTCCCTGCCCTTTGCCCCCTTACCTCCTTAGCCTAGCCAGGGAAATGGGCGCACCGCGGATGCGGGCACACGGACTCCTGGGATGGACTAGGAGAGCGGATCCCAGAGACAGAGGGCTTTGGGGGCAGGAGCCGGGCGCGCCTGGGCCCCGGCGAGGCGCCTGCCCCCCGCCCGCCTGGCTTGGGCATGCTTGGCACGCAGAGCGCGGGCCGGTCGGATCCGTATGCGCGCCGCGTGCGCCTATTGGTATGCGGGAGCCGGCCCGGCGCGGGCGTGAGGCGGCCGCGCTGGCGGGCGGCGCGGGGGAGGCGGCGGCGGCGGCGGCGGCGGCGGCGGCGGCGGCGGGGCACGTCTTCGCCCCGAGCTTCGCCTGGGGCCGGGCAGGGTGAGAGCAGCGGGATCCGTCCTGGGGCCTCCGGGGAGGGGAAACTGAGGCACCATCCAGCCCCAGCTCCTTGCTGGGACCCCGAACCCCGCACGGACCTCAGTTTCCCTAGCAGGTCTCCCGGGGGCCCCCCTCGGGCACCGAGCGCTGCCTCTGGCTCCTTTCCGCGGCAGGAGACGCGGGTCTCGAGTCCCGCAGGCTGCTCTGGGCCCGCCTGAGCCCGCCCCCGCGGAGATGGCGGCCCCCTACCCCAGCAGTGGCAGCGGAGGCGAGGTCAAGTGCGGGGGAGGTCGCGGCCGCAGCGTCCCGTGGGACTTTCTGCCTGGGCTGGTGGTCAAGGCCCCGCCGGGACCCTGGTGAGCAAAGCCCCGCCCCCTCGGACCGTGGCCCCGCCCCCAAGGGCGTCCTGGAAGAATTCACACTCAGCTTGCAGCCCCGCCCTCTGGAACTAGAATTTCTTACCCAGAGCAGCTCAACCTTTGTTCTACAAACAGCCCCCACCGCGTTCCGTTCCCACCGCCCTTCCTCTGAGTTCATACCCAACATTTAATTTCTCCCCTCTTCCAGCTCCTTCCCTCCAGAATTTATTTACACCTCAGGTTCTGTCCCCACGGCCGGGTGCAGAATTCACACTCAGGTTCTGCCCCCACCTCCAATGTCGAATCCACTTCTCACGTCCAGCCCGGTTCCGAGGCCCCGAGGGCGGGGCTCCCCGAGGCCGCGGCCCCCTGAGCCGCGCGGTCCGGCTGACGCCCCCTCCGCGCCGCCCGCCCAGCCTGCAGGCGCAGCGCAAGGAAAAGTCCCGGAACGCGGCGCGCTCGCGGCGCGGAAAGGAGAACCTGGAGTTCTTCGAGCTGGCCAAGCTGCTCCCGCTGCCCGGAGCCATCTCGAGCCAGCTGGACAAGGCGTCCATCGTGCGCCTCAGCGTCACCTACCTCCGCCTGCGCCGCTTCGCTGCCCTCGGGGCGCCACCCTGGGGATTGCGGGCGGCGGGGCCCCCGGCCGGCCTCGGTGAGTGCGCATGCGCGTGGGGCGGGGGTCCCAGGGCCCTAGCTAAGGCCAGACGGCGGGACTGTGAGGTGCCCGCCGGCCCTCGTCTAGTTCCTTGGCTGAGAGGGAGCACCGGGTTGGGAGTCAACCAGACCTTTTGTGTGCCCGAACCCGGAGACTGATAGTCTCCAAGCCTCAGCCTGTTCATCTGTAAAACGGGCACTCGAGGTAGGGATGATTTCATGCATTCTGGCCCGACTAAGCAACTCCCCCCTCCACCCTCCGCCCCGGGAACACCAGGGATCCGACCACTAGCCAATGCCGTTATTTTTATTAGGGGAGATAAATCGTTATTATCACAAAGAAGGTCTGCAACTCCATGGGCGGGACGGGGTTGGGGGGGGCCGCCTGGGCCTCCCCATCCACTCATGGGCAAGAAACCCCCTCACTCAAATTTGAGGGGCCCCAGGAAGGAGCCCAAGGACTCTGAAGTTTGAATTCCCAGTTTGGGAAAGCAGGAGGGAGACAGTATAAGGTGGCAGGTAAGATGGAGAACTTCAGAAAGACTCCTGGGTCCCTGTCCCTACTCGGCCCCCCCCCCCCCCGCCCCAAGCGTTGTGACCCGGGGCAGGCCGCCTGACCTCTCTGTGCCTCGTGAAATGGGAATCCTGATGAAAGTCCATAAGCATACCCAGAGGGCTGAGATGAAAATCAGCGAGGTAATGCGTGTAAAGATCCAGGTGCAGTCAATACTTAGTGACTTCTTAGGGTCGGCGGTGACCTTGCAGAATTGCTGGGGCCTGTGGTTTATTAAACAGCTACTGTGTGCCCAATGCTGCTCTGAGCCGTCAGGATCCAGCAGAAAACAGACTTGATTCAAGCCCCCCCCCCCCCGACAGGCTGACACCCTAGTAGCCAAGACCCGGTAATGAGATAAACCCAGAAATGAAATAGACATTATGTAAAAATACAGGCTAGGTAAAACACAGAGAGCTAGCTCCTTTTATTATAATTCAACTTTATCATTGGTAGATGCACAGGAGTGTTATGTTACTGTTATTACTTCTGTTTGAGGTATTATTGCTTCTCTCAACGATGAGAAGACCGTGAATCATGTTAATCCGAGGTCGCAGGTGACAGGGCGGGGGCACCACAGGCTACAGTCCCCCCAGAGGGGACTGGTGTCCTTAGGGTGAGGTTGGAGGGGCTCCAATTCCCCTCCTGCCCCAGTCCCAGGGGAGGAGGGGGGGGGGGAGAGAAAATAGCATTGATTAAGCTCGCAATAAATCACCATTTAAATTTAAATAATCCGGCTTCCCAGGCGGTAATTAGGCGAATTGACTGGCGCGGAGAGAATGCGGCATTAGGGCCGCTGATTACTGTCATTACCGCGAACAACACGTGCGCCGGCGGGGGATAAACATCTTGTCTATTGTCCCGAACGCGGGGAGAGAAAGGAAGGGAGGGGGTGCCAAGGGAGCCCCTCCGGCGGCGGCCAGCTCCCCCCACCACCACTGCCTGGCTGGGCCCTTGAAGGGGACCGGAGCCTGCTGAGGACACTGCCCTGAGGGGCCAGACCGTGGACTTCACGGGCGCCCCCAGCCCCTACTCCCTGGAGGGCCCCCCTCCCCCCACCCCGCCTGCCGTCCAGGACAGTATGTGTTGGAGGTGCTGTATGGACTCCCTCCTGTAGCCCCAGAAGTAGGAATTTGGAGGCGTCTCCTGCTTTGCAGGGTTCCCCAGCAAGAGGTCAAGTGCCTGCTTCCTTAGTCGCCCCTGGGGGGAAACTGAGGACAGCATCTTAGCTAGTCAGAGCAAAGCAGGGTGCTTCCCACACTCTGAAGGGGCACGTGCTGCCCTGTCCTCTTCATTTATACCAAAATAGCCAATCCATGTCAGACTGTGTTGAGCAGTATATACAAATAATGTGGGGGGAAAAAAAAAACACAAAACGTACTTAAGCCTCTCAAAAAAACATCAGGAGGAAAAAGCAGTGTTGATTCCCATTTTACAGAAGTGGAAAACTGAGCCCCAGGAGGTGAAGCTCTTTGCCCAGGGTCTCATCAGCCAAGCTGGGCCCAGCTGAGATTCAGACTGGCTTCAGAGAGCACCCTCTCAGCCTCCAGACTTGGCCTGTTCATAGGTCTCTTGGGACCTTGAAGGTCCCAGTCTCTGGGCCTCAGTCGGCTGTGGGTGAAACAGCACAACGATGTTGAAGGCTAGCCGGGGACCTCCAAGTGCAGGGAGGAGATAGCCTGGATCTTGTGTCAGTGGTCAGCATTCATTCAACACCCACAGAGCACCTTCCCCCTGCCAGGCCCTGTTCTAGTGACACCCTCGGGGACAGGACAAAGTCCCTGACCTCAGGGGTGGGCCTGCAGATCCTTCATGGGAGACCCACTGCCCCCCACCTCTCTGATCTCCTTTCTCTACCCCTCTCACCTCTTCCACTCCCTCCCACCCCTGGACACACACACACACACACACACACACACACAGGCTTCCTTGCTGTTCTTCAGAAAAACATTCCTACCTCAGGGCCTTTGCATGCACTTGCTGTGCTCTCTTGCAGGAACTCCCTTCCCTCCAAACATCAGCTCTTCAGGAAGGCCTTCTCCCCACCCCCCCACCCCCGCCCCACCAGCACTCCCTGTCTCCCTTTCCTGCCTTATTTCTTTCCAGAGTACCTATTGTCATCTGACACCATTTCTTCTTTCTCTTGTTCATTGTGTCTCTTCCCCTTGACACCTTGTTCCCTGAGCCTAGAACACTGCCTGGGGGCACAGTAAGGGCTTGGGAAGTATTTGTTGGGTGTCTGTGAAACAGAGTGAGGGGAGGAGGGTTGACATTTTCATTCTCAGATCAGGCACAGCCTCTCTGAGGAAGGGACCTTTGAGCTGGAAGGAGGTGAGGAAGCAATCCTTGAGAAAAGCTGGAAGAAAAGCAGTCTTGGCTAAGGGAATAAGTGCAAAGGCCCTGAGGCAGGCAGAATCAGTTGCTGGGTGCAGGCCACAACAAGGCAGAGAGGAATAGGTGAGGCAGGAGGTAGACAGCAGGGACCAGGTCCTGCAGGGCCTCATGGGCCTTGGTGGGGACTTTGGCTGTTACCCCAAGTGGGATGGGAGCTGGAGGTGACAGAGGTGGCAGGTGTGAAGGTAGAAGCAGGGAGCCCAGTGAGGAGGTGCATGCAGAGGCCTGTCCCAGGGAGCCAAGTTTCCCCCTCCCCAGATAGCAAAACTCTCTCCGGCCAGTTGAGAGTAGGAGGTGACTGGACCCCCAAGACCTGGGGGCATGGCAGCCTTCTCCCCGCGTCCCCTCAGTCCCAGCTCTGTGATGACAACTGCAACAATTTTCTTCTCCAGCAGTTAGGCTGCAGTGAGAAAGGCAGGAAATGTTTGTTGAATGAGTGAGAGATGGTTGGGGCTTTGGGTGTGAGGAGGGGACAGATCTGGGAGCAGTAAAGACCCACGTGGGGAATTTGGGGGACAGAGGAGTTGAGGCATTTGCTGGGAGAGGCGGGAACACAGGGGGAGGAGTCTGAGGAGTTGGGTTTGGGGAGGGGGAGGCTGGGGGATGATAAGACGCATCAGCCGGTGATGGGTACCGACCCCAAAGCTCCCATCCCAACGGGGGAACAGCAAGCCCTCCCCCTGCGCACCCCCCCCGTCCGACGTGCCCATTAAGGCTGTTAATTGCAGCCGTTCAGTCTGACCTGGGCTGATCCTGTGAGCGGGAAAATGAAGGAATTAGCAGAAATGACAGGGGAAAATTGCGACAATTAGCAGGCGGCATTGTTCCTGCCTGTCACCCGGCTGGTTCGCTGGTTCGCGCTGCATCTCGGGGGAGGGGTCCCCATCAACCCCCCCCCCACCCATTTATTGTTCCTGGAGCTCCAGCCAGGGGTGGGGAAAGGGTGCAAACAGTGGGAGGTGCTCCTGGGAGAAAGAGGCGTGGCCAAGGCATTGGGGGGCTGGGGACGGGGCTGGGGGGCCGAGTCCCGAGGGGCGCGCGGAGGCAGGCTTTGACCGCCTGGTGTTTTGATCGTCTGGAAATAACAATAGTAATCACACTATTAATACTAATCCCGGCTCTGCGCGTCTGGGAGCACCTGCCGCGTGCCAGGAGGGGGCGGGGCCCTTTCTGTTCCTTAAGCTGACTGAATGCTCAGCCACCCATGAGGTTAGCGCTCTTGGCAAAGCCACTTGACAGAGGAGGAAACTGAGGCACAGAGAGGCAAAGGGACTGGTCCCAGGGCACACAGCCAGGGAGGGCCAGCCCTGGGGCTTGGTCCCAGACCTGGACCCTTGGAACCAGACCTGGAGACCTTCAAGGTCACTGAGTCCCCTGGCTCCCCAGTCTGGACATAGGGCCCCTTGGGAGGTGGTTCTCTGCAGGGTCAGGGAGAGGCTCCCCAGTGGGAACGGGCGGTCTCATTTGCCATGTCCCCTGTCACTCTCTTTCTCTGTATGTCTTTCTGGGCATCTCCTTTCTGTTCTCTCCATCTCTTTGTGTCTCTGAGTCTTCTTCTGTCTCTGTCTGAATTTCTCTGTGACCACATGTCCGTCCCTATCTCTTTTAAAATATTTTTAAAATATTTATTAATTTGAAGGGCGCCTGGGTGGCTCAGTGGGTTAAGCCTCTGCCTTCGGCTCAGGTCATGATCTCAGGGTCCTGGGATCGAGCCCCGAATCGGGCTCTGCTCAGCGGGGAGCCTGCTTCCCCCTTTCTCTCTGCCTGCCTGTGATCTCTCAATCTCTCTCTCTCTCTCTCTCTCTGTGTCAAATAAATAAATAAATAAATAAATAAATAAAAATCTTTTTTAAAAAAGATTTATTTATTTGAGAGAGAGCAGTGGGGAGGAGCAGAGGGAGAGGGAAAGAGAGAATCTCAAGCAGATTGCCCTCTGAGCTCGGAGCCCCACGCAGGACTCAATCTCATGACCCTGAGATCATGACCTGACCTGAGCCAAAATCAACAGTTGGATGTAGGGAGCCTGGGTGGCTCAGTCAGTTAAGCGCCTGCCTTCCGCTCAGGTCATGATCCTGGGGTCCTGAGATCAAGTCCCTGATCGGGCTCCTTGCTCAACAGAGAGCCTGCTTCTCCCTCTGCCTGCCGCTCCCCGAGGTTGTACACTCTCTCTCTCTCTGACAAATAAATACTAAAAAAAAAAAAAAAAAAAATTGAAGTAAAGTTTATATAACATGGAATTCACCATTTAAAAGTGTACAGGGGGGCGCCTGGGTGGCTCAGTGGGTTAAAGCCTCTGCCTTCAGCTCAGGTCATGATCCCAGAGTCCTGGGATCGAGCCCTGCATCAGGCTCTCTGCTCGGCGGGGAGCCTGCTTCCTCCTTTCTCTCTGCCTGCCTCTCCGCCTACTTGTGATCTCTGTCAAATAAATAAATAAAATCTTTAAAAAAAATAAATTAAAAAAAAAGTGTACAGGGGGTGCCTGGGTGGCTTAGTAGGTTACGCGTTCAACTCTTGCTCTCAGCTCAGGTCTTGTTCTCAGGGATGTGAGATCAAGGCTCCCAGTGTGGAGCCTACTTAAATTTTAAAAAATTAAAAATAAAAATAAAGTGCACAATTCAGCAGTACTCAGTACAGTCACAGGGCTGTGCGCCCCCATTTGATCTGGTTCCAAAACATTTTCATTCCTCCCCTAAAAAAAACACCCCCCCCACATTAGCAGATTCTCCCCATCCCCACTCCCTCCCGCCACCATGACCCCTGCCCCCAACCACCAGTCTGCTTTCTGTCCCTATGGATTTGCCTGCTCCGGACAATTCATAGATACGGTATCACACAGTGTGTAGCCTCTTGTGTAATGTTTTCACATTTTTTAAAAGTAGGCTCCAAAAAAAATAAAAAAATTTTTAAAAATAAAGTAGGTTCCATGCCTGATGCAGGGCTCAAACTCATGGCCCCGAGATCAAGAGTTGCACACTCCACCGACTGAGCCCAGTGGGTGCCCCCATCGTGACGTTGTAAGAGTCCATCCGTATTAGAGCCCGCATTTCCCGCTTCCTTCATTTTCCTCGCTGAATAATATTCCACTGTATGAATACAGCACATTTTATCTATCTGTCCAGCCGTCATTGGACTGTTGAGGTGTTTCCACCTTTTGGCTGTTAGGAATGGTGCCACTGTGAACATCTAGGAAGGAGTATTTGTTACAACGCCTATTCCCAGTTCTTTGGGAGTCTACACCTAGGAGCGGAATTGCTGGGTTGTGTAGTAGGAGACTCTATGTGTGACTTTTTTTTTTTTTTTTATTCATTTATTTGAGAGCAAGCACTAGAAAGAGAGAGAAAGCAAGAATGGGCAAGGGGCAGAGGGAAATGGAGAAGCCGACTCCCTGCTGAGCAAGGAGCCTGATGCAGAACTCAAACCCAGGACCCTGAGATCATGACCTGAGCCAAAGGCAGACGCTTCACTGACTGAGCCCGCCCAGGTGCCACCCATGTGTGGCTTATTGAGGAACCTCCATCCTGTTTCCCAGAGCGTCTGCCTTATTTTCCACTCTCACCAGCAATGCACAGGGATTCTGATCTCTCCACATCCCACCAACATTTCTCTTTGAATTCTAGCCATCCTAGTGGGGTGTGAAGTGACATCTCATTGGGGTTTAGGGTTTTGTTTTTTTTTTAAGATTTTATTCTTGGGGCACCTGGATGGCTCAGTCGGTTGGGCATCTACCTTCAGCTCAGGTCATGGTCTCAGGGTCCTGGGATCGAGCCCCGAGTCAGGCTTCCCTGCTCAGTGGGGAGTCTGCTTCTCCCTCTCCCTCTGCCGCTCCTAAATAAAATCTTTACAAAAAAATTATTCTTAGGTAATCTCTGCACCCTATGCAGGGCTCAAACTCATGATCCCAAAATCAAGAGCCACCTGGTCCACTGGCTAAGCCAGCCGGGCACCCAGACCTGCTTGTCCTTTTCCTGCTGAGTTTCAATGTCCTTCTCTCTTTCTGTATTCCTTTATATCCCTCCGTATGTCTCTGTCCATCTGCTTGTCTGTCTAGTGTCTTTGTCTCTCAATATCTGTTTCTTTTTCTCTGGCTCTCTGGACGAATGTCTCTCTGTCTTTCTGTCGTCTCTAGTCTCTACCCCCTCCCTCAACAGCCCTCACTTCACACCACCTTCTCAATCCTTCAAGGCACCGGCACGGATGATAATTCTTTATTTGTTAGTTTCTTACATGTTGCGTATTGTGTACTCCTCATGAGGGGAGGGGCAGGCCCTCCTGGACGCCTCTGTGTCCCCAGCACAGGGCCAGCTGCACAGCTGGGGCTCAGGGAGACTTTCTGAATGAATGGGCGGATGGACGGCTCCCTGCGCCCTCTGGCCTCTCTCTGCCTCTGCCTCTCAGCCTGCTTCCACCCCTTCCACCCCCTCCCCACAAGCCCAGGTTTCTCCCCGACCTGCCCCCAAGACAGCTCCAGGACTGGGGAGAAGCAGATCTGTAGACTGGCTCGAATACCAACGGGCCCCAGCCTCACCCCTCCCTCTGTCCTCAGCCCCAGGCCACAGGGGCCGCGTGGCGCTGGTCTCCGAAGTCTTCGAACAGCACCTGGGAGGACACATCTTGCAGGTGAGGCCCCGCCCTGCCTGGTGCTCCTTGCTGCCACCTGGTGGCCACCCTCTGGAGAGCAGCACGGTTTTCTCCAGCATCCATGGGGGGGGGGGGCCCCACCGCCACGGACCCCCCCCCCACCCCAGGATTAATCCATCCTAGGTGGAGATCCAGATTTCAGAATGTCTTACCACCTACCCGCTGGACAGACAGATGCCCAGCCCTCCTCTCCCCTCTCTCTGTTTCTCCCCCACTCTAGTCCCTGGATGGCTTCGTGTTTGCCTTGAACCAGGAAGGGAAGTTCCTCTACATCTCCGAGACCGTCTCCATTTATCTAGGTCTCTCACAGGTAAGGGGCCCTCGGCAGGCTGCCCGGATGGGCTCAGCCACCCTCTCCCTTGCTGTGCATGCATGCCCTTTCTCCTGGCCTCACCATCCCCGCCTGAAAAGTGAACTGGATCCATGGTTCTCAAAGTTCTCAAAGTGCACCCCGTGGGAACCCCAGGAGGTGGTGGTATGTTAAAGTAACAGGTCAGTTTGAAGAAAACCGATCAGCAGAAAGATCAGTTTGTCGATGAACATTTGCCAAATGCACCGTTTTCCCCCAAACTTGCTTTTTCTGAACAATTATAGAGACTTGCAACCATTGTATTGGGAGAGCTTGGGTTTTGGCAACTGTGGGAGATTTTCTGTGGTGTTTTAGTGCACTGGCTTGTGTTTTGTCTTTATTTCCGCCAGCTGTTTCTGCCCCGGCTCCCGCAGCTGGCACTGAGAGCTAAAAGCAGAAACCGCACATCGCCACCCCTGGGGGGCCTGGCTCTTCCTGGTGGCATCTTAGGCCTCCCCAGTCCATTCAGCACAATTTGCTACCCTCCCATCGCTTTGACCAAGGTTTTACCAAATGGTAAATTTAGAAAAGTCGGTGCTCAGTGTTTGGCCTTTGTGAGCACTTTTTCAGTGAATTATTGGAGATGCCTGGAGGAGGAATATGGACAAGCGGAAGGGGTGCGGGGGTGGGGGAGTGGAGTAAAGGCTTGCATCTGGTGCAGGGAAGGGTTTGATAAGCAGGAGTTTGGAGGGATGAGGGACAGAGGGAAGCATGAGAGCCCAAACCCAGGGGCAGTGGGAGTTCTGGGAGGTTTCTCAGGTTGGGGGAGGGAGGCATAGTCAGATGAGTAACTTAGTAGGCGAATTTGAGTGGAGACTGAAAGCCAGAAGAGCAGGGAGGACGCTGGGGCAGGAACACGGGGTGGGGGATGGGGACCTGGACTGGACTGGACTGGGGGAGGTGTGGAGCAAAGGGAGACTGCTTTGGGAGACTTGCGGGTGAACTGGATGGTAGTCTGTCTGTCTGAGAAGTTCTAACTCTAAGAGTTCGAAAGCCATTCCACTGCGTGTATCCTCATCGCCGCCGCTACTGGGATATCCTGTGATTCATTTCGGGGCGCCGTTGCTCGCTGTGTGGGGTGGGAGCTGGGCAAAGGGAGGCTGTGAGAAGTAGGCTCGCGGCTTCTAGAGTAAGCAGGTGCAGAAAATCCTTAATGCCCACCAGCCTTGAAGTGAGAAGGCATAAGAGCCCAAGTTTGTATCTCCTTTAAAAAAGGTTAAAAAGGAAAAAAAGAAAAAGGGGGAGGGGGTAAAGGTTAAAAGATTCTAATAAAAACACAAAACTGGCTTGGGGCGCCTGGGTGGCTCCGTGGGTTAAAGCCTCTGCCTTTGGCTTGGATCATGATCCCAGGGTCATGGGATGGAGCCCCACATCGGGCTCTCTGCTCAGCGGAGCCTGCTTCCTCCTCTCTGTCTGCTTCTCGGCCTACTTGTGATATCTGTCAAATAAATGAATAAAATCTTTAAAAAAATAAAAATAAAGAATAAAACACAAAACTGACTTGAAGCGCCACGAGCTTCGCACGCAGGCGAGCGAGCGCAAGGCTGAAGCCCCAGGCGAATGACTGCGCGCGCATCTTACGCGCTCTCTGCGGTCCCCTCTTCTGCCGGCAGGTGGAGCTGACGGGTAGCAGCGTCTTCGACTACATCCATCCCGGCGACCACTCCGAGGTGCTGGAGCAACTGGGGCTCCGGGCTCCGACCCCGGGGCCTCCCACCCCGCCCTCCGTTCCCTCCTCTTCCTCCTCTTCGTCTTCCTCCTCGCTTGCGGACACCCCTGAGATCGGTAATTCCAAGGGCCCCCAAAGAAGGCGGCTGAGGGTAGGTCAAGGGACACCTGGTACACGGTAACCAGCCATGTCTTCTTTAAACAAAACCCGCTCTCCTTTGAGCTGTGCAAAGCAAATTTTTGTAAAATGATCAGAAGCCAAACCGAGGCAACAGGTCTTGGCTCCCTAAAATTTGCCTAAGCTGCCTAAGTTTGCCTGGCTCCCCAAGACTTGAGTTTTAGAAAGACCCCCTCTGGCCGCCAAGTGGAAATGGGTGCCTGTGGGTGACCCCTGGAACCCGGCTTTGGTAATAATAAAACAGCGCACACTCCCTGGCCTTTACAGGTGCTTTGTCTTTAAGGGCATAGTTTCACTGAACCCTAATCACAGCCCCACCTGCAGGAACAGTCTTCATTTTGCACAGGTGGAAACTGAGGCACAGCACAGAGAGGTTAAGTTCCTTGCCCCAGGTCCCACAGCTGTCAGTGGTGAATCTGGACTCCAGCCCAGGTTCTTCTAGCTGCAGCATCTGTGCTCCCAGGCCTTCCCTCGAGTGGAAAATTCCACTCCATGTTGGCGAGGGAGGGTGTTGGGAGAGTACCCTGAAAGTTCCTTTTGGAATGTTGGGGGACTGGGATGTTGGGGGACTAGAGGTGAACTTTCTGGTAAGTAGGACTCACTTATATTGGGTTTGCTTAACACTAAAAGCCTCCGAGCTATCAGCAGCGTGTGCAAGCTTGGGAGATGTTTGTGATACACGGGAGTGTGCTGGAGAGGGGGGTTAGGTTTGCACCCAAGATCCAGTCACAGGTTCGTCTGGGTGTGAGCAGTTATAAGACTATCACTGGATTTATAATCTGTATTTGTGGGTCTTACTTGTTTCTATACCCTGAGCCCCTGCTCTGTGCTGGGGAGGGCTGGGGACACATCGATGACAGTAGCCCCAGCCCTACCCTCTGGGCTCACAGTCCAGGTGGGGAAGACTGACCAGTCCCTTGAGAATGATGATCCAGAGTGGTCAGGGCTGACGTGGAAGACCCCAGAGGCACGCATGACCCAGCCTGGGGATCAGGGAGGGCTTCCTGGAGGAGGAGCTATCCCACTTGAGACCTGGAGTTTGTAGCTAGAGATGGTTGTCAGCGGGAGGTGGTTCTTGCCCAAGTTTTAGGCTGAGGTGAGGAGCTGGGCTTTACCCCCAGGGTCCTAGGGGGCCATGGCAGCTTCAGGGCAGGGAGGGAAAGGGTTATATTTGAGCTTTAGAGAGACCCAGCTGGCTGCCGCTCAGAGGGGAGGTTGGTATACGACTTCAGTGAGGTCATGTACCCATTAGGCTGTGGCCATGACCCTGTCTGGCTAGGTGTACAGGGGGCAGGAGGGGCCTGTGTCTCTTCCTCGGACCCCCTAACCTTCCTTCACTCCCCTCCCTAGAGGCCAGCGCGGCCGAGGTGCCTCCCTTCTCCCGGGTCCAGGAGCGCTCCTTCTTCATCCGCATGAAGTCTACCCTCACCAAGCGGGGGCTGCACGTCAAGGCCTCGGGGTACAAGGTGAGTGTGAGCTCTGCGGCCCCAGCTTCTGACGCCGGAGTCCCCCCGCCCACCTGGGGAGACCTCCCGCGCGTTCCCGCCAGCCATGTCCTTGTGCCCCGGCACCTGTGGGTGACAGCCACAGCCAGGCCCGGCGGCCGCGTTGTGGTCCTCCTGCCCGTGCCCCCCCGCACCCCCCCCCCGGCCTCGCCAGGCCTCTCCTCCACCCCCGCTGCTGCCTGCAGGTCATCCACGTCACGGGGCGCCTTCGGGCCCGCTCCCTGGGCCTCGTGGCTCTGGGTCACACGTTGCCCCCTGCCCCACTGGCTGAGCTGCCACTACACGGACATATGATCGTCTTCCGTCTCAGCCTGGGTCTCACCATCCTTGCTTGTGAGAGCAGGTACCGGGGTTGGAGGCCGAGGCGGGCGGATGGGGCCACGCGGGAGAGCTGGGGCTGCGGGCAGTCAAAGCCGAGCTGGGGAGCCTGGGGGGCAGTGGGGGGGGCACGGAAGAGCAGCGAGGGCGGAGGTACGGGAAGGAGGAGGCTGGGGCGGGGCCGGCGGCGAGGGTGGGCGGGGCTTACCCGAGGCCCCCTTCGCAGACCCCCACTCCTCCCCGACCCACTGGGTCTCGCTGCCTCTCCTCTCCTCCACTGTCTCGTGCGCCACGCAGAGGGGAAAATGAAACGGGCCGTCGTCCCCACGCTCGGAGTATTATGCCCATTTGACCCAGGGTTAAACTGAGGCCCAAAGCACTCCAGCGCCCGGTCTTGTACGCTGGTGGTTCCAGAGCCAGCCCCGCCTCTTGTCCTCGACCCCCCTGATCTCAGACCCCCTCCCACCTCTGTCACCCGCTGTCCTCAGAGTCAGCGACCACATGGACCTGGGGCCGTCAGAGCTCGTGGGTCGCAGCTGCTACCAGTTTGTCCATGGACAGGACGCAGCCAGGATCCGCCAGAGCCACCTGGACCGTAAGAACCCTGCTCTCCAGCACCCCTGGCCCGAGTGCCCCGATCCCCGCACCCCCAGCCACAGTTCAGACGTGGGGCGGGTGGAAAGGGGCTGTGTTCTCTCTCTGAGCCTCCCCCCCCCCACCCCGCCCTTAAAAATCCAGAAGGCCCCTGTGCCCAGCTAATGCTCAGTCCTCCTGACTCGGTCTTTTTCCATCTGCCCCTCTGGACTGTTGCCCTTGTCTCCTCCCTACCGTCCCCTCCCTGGTCCTGCCTTCCTCTCCCGCCCCATGTTCCTCTCCGCCTGTCTCTGACTGCCTCCACTGGCCCCGGGGCTGGGCCCAGTGCTGGACAAGGGGCAGGTGATGACCGGTTATTACCGTTGGCTGCAGCGGGCTGGGGGCTTCGTGTGGCTGCAGTCCGTGGCCACCGTGGCCGTGAGCGGCAAGAGCCCCGGGGAGCGCCACGTGCTCTGGGTCAGCTACGTGCTCAGGTGAGGGCCCCACAGGGGACTCAGAACCCCTCTACATACTCCGCCATCTCTCTCCATCTTGGGGGGGGGCTCCTCTTCAAGGGGGCAGGGCTTCTCAAAGAGGACAAGCCCAGAAGGCTTTGAAAACAGGAAGGAGACAGGGGGACAGTAGGAGGAAAGGCCCAGAGGTGGGGTGACCTTGCTTTCAGGGGGCAGAGAGGAGTGAGGCGGCGGCTTTGAAGTGGCCTCAGCCCCAGGCAGAAGATAGGGACTGGATTCTGGGGCACTGGGGAGCCATGGCAGGGTGTAAGGCTGGAGAGGGTCACAGTCCCATCTGGTTTGTGACAAGACCTCCCTGGCTGCTGTGGGGGACTTCACGGGACACGACAGGGGCTGGGAGCCCAGGGAAGAGGCTAGGGCAGGGGCTGGGGCAGGTACTGGGGCAGGTCTGGGAAATGCCAGGCAGTGCGGGTGGAGGAGGGGACATGGCTTCTGCTCACACCCCCCCCATCTCTAGCTTTGATGGCCTGGACTGGGGCTCCCGAGAGAAGCAGCAGTCTGAAAGAAAGACCCTGAGAGGAGATGGGCAGGCAGTACCCAGGGGACACCCAGGTGGTGACATTCGAGGGGCAGGGGGCATAGGCTGCCCAGGTCTGGCCTCACCAGACAGGGCTAAGTTGGGCTAGAACCCAGCTTGGAGTCTGGGGTTCCAATGATGAGCCCTAAGTGCCATGGGGTGGGGACTACCCCACCTGTCTTGTCCCCAGCCAAGCTGAGGGCGGCCAGACCCCTCTGGATGCCTTCCAGCTTCCAGCCAGCGTGGCCTGTGAGGACACCTCCAGCCCCGAGCCAGAGCCCACAGGTGAGCCCCACCTCCCCCTTCATCCCGAGGAGCTCCCAGGGAAGGGGTCTCGGGGACCTGAGCTTTCCAGTCTGGAAGCCACGAGCCACATGTGGTGACTTACGTTTAATTAAAGATGAAAGCCTGAGTTTCTTGGTCACCCTTACCACGTTCCAATGGCTCAGCAGTCTCCCGCAGCCAGTGGCTACTGCATTGGAGCACACAGAGAGGGAACAGCATCGAGGAAAGTTCTGTCGGGCAATGCGGGTCTAGGCCAGCACTTGTCCATCTCCCCTCTGCTGCTCTCGAGGGCCAGATCCTTCTCGGCTCTGGGGGCTTGTCCTGGGAGCTGTAGGGTACTTAGCAGGACCCCCAATCTCTAGCTGTGGCAACCACACATGTCTCCAGACTGCCACGTGATCCCCTGGGGGACAGACTGGCCCCAGCTGAGACCCCCCCCCAGCTCTAGACCACTGAGCTCAGCTGATTCCACAGATGGGAAGACTGAGGGCTGGGGGCACGCACACACTGCTCCCTCGTATCTTCCTCTTCCAGAGCCAGAGCCTCCAGGGGAAGGGAAGCAGGCTGCCCCCCTAGACAAGGACGAGGTCCCCCGGAGCCGGGGCAAACGCATCAAAGTGGAGCCTGGCCCAGGGCAGGCTAAAGACCCGGAGGACAGTGGGGACGAGGAGTCGTCTGGCCACCCGGCCCTGCCACGGCCCGAGTTTACTTCTGTCATCCGGGCAGGGGCCCTGAAGCAGGACCTGGTGCGGCCTTGGGGCCTGGGGCCTCCCGGGGACCCCCCACCTTCCCTCCTCCACGCGGGCTTCCTGCCCCCCGTCGTGCGGGGCCTCTGCACACCGGGCACCATCCGCTACGGGCCCGCGGAGCTGGGCCTTGTGTACCCGCACCTGCAGAGGCTGGCCCCAGGCCCCACCCTCCCCGAGGCCTTCTACCCCACCCTGGGCCTGTCCTACCCGGGGACCACCGGGACCCGGGTGCAACGGAAGGGGGACTGAGGACTGGAGGGCTGCCGACAGAGCCGGACCCTGAGGGACAGGTGGGGCCCGGAGGGCACCGCCAGAAGGCTGAGCTCAGCCCAGTTGGTGGGCCTGGAAAATTAAACACCTTCTCCCACTCTGTGGCTCTGTCTCCGGGGCCTCGGGGCTCCTCTCTCCTTTCCTTTTTCCTCTTCGGTTCCCTCCACCTGCCTCGGCTGGTTCCCATGCCCGCCCCTCCCCACCTCCCGCCCCATCCTAGGAACCACCACGCAGAACATGGAGCCGGCGAAGGGTCAGGTTTTAATGTCTCGGTCCTCAGGCCCCCTGGCCGTCCAGTGCCCGGCCATTCCCCATGGCCCAGCCACTCACTCTGGCGGTGGGCGGCCTGCTTCATCGGGGCCTTCGGCAGCCGCTGTCCCGTCGTCCTCGGGCACCAGTTCCACATCCAGCTCCAGCTGACCCATGTAGAGGCCGACGGCACAAGCCCAGAGCAGGCCTACGGCCAGCACGGCCCCCACGCTTGCCGCCGCGCCCCCCAGCGACAGCTGCATGGGTCCCCGCAGCGCCGCCAGGCCCACCACGTAGGAGGAGCCTCCCCACACCACACACAGGCCGCCCAGCAGGAAGAAGCCTGTGCAGGGGGAGAGCGTGGGAGGGAGGGGCACAGTCAGTGGGAGGGAGGGCCTGAGCTCCCAGGCGGGGGCTGTCTGCTGTGGGGTGGCTGGGGGCCTGGGTGTGGGAACCCGATTACCCAGGGGCAGAGCTGGGTCAAGAGACTGAGGTGGGGTTAGTGGATGGGACAAAGTCAGGGTGGGGGTCAGTACAGAGCCAAGCTCAGGGGCATGAGAAGGTGTCAGAGGGGGTGTCTAGGATGTGGAGGTGGGCTTTAGAGCCAGAGGAGGAGTGGGGAGCTGGGTTGAGAGCAAAAACAGGGCTGGGGGGCGGCAGTGGGACTAGGCTAGGGCTGAGCCAGCATGAGGGGCTCAGTCGGGACCCTCATCTTTGGGCAAGGACCCAAAGCCCTCCCTGGGGGCACACACGCGGGTGATCCAGTGTCCTCGAAGTAGGGGTGGGTGGGTGGAAAGTCAACACAAGTGAGGGGGAGGTGGCTTCCGGCAGGGGAAAGAATGAGGGGTTCTACACTTAACTATGGGCAGGCTGGGGCGGGGAGGGATCTACCTCCCCAGTGGGGGGCCAGGGTGGGGGTCTGCACTTACCATAAGCAGCTTCCCGACCCATGTCACTCTGCATGAAGGAGATGACCCCGATGCCGGATGCCAGGAGGCCATTGCGAAACCAGGAGAGGAAGGCTACAGGAGGGGGAATGGTGGGGGGGGGGGAGAAATCAGCATTAGCTCAAACCCTGCCCCCACCCCCATTCTGCCCAGACAGTGTTATCCCACCATGCCATTCACCCCGAATCCCAGCCTAGTCCTGGCAGCCCTCCACCGAACCTTATCACCCTCCTCCAAACTCTGTCTGGCTCCTGTCCACACTGAGCCCTCTCTCCCAAACTCCGCAGCACCAAAGAGCCAAGACAGTCTTTAGAATCTGGAGGAGCATCTAGGAACCAAAAATGCAGGACCTAAATCTGAGGGCGGGCAGATCCCAAGAGGTCACCCCGGCCCATGTCCCACCCCCATACACGTGCATCTCCCTCCGGGACAAACTGTTCCCTCACTTCAGGGCGCTCTCCAGCTATCCCCTTCAGTGTTCCTCCAACGTCAACTATCTGCGTCTGTCCTTCCTTGTTATTTACATCCATTCAAGTCCCTTGTGGGGCCCTAACCGGCTGGTGGGGGTTACTTACCCCAGCCTCTTATCTACCCTCTCTGCACGGGAGGCCCCGCCCCCTGCAGCCTGGATCACCCGGTCCTCCAATCAGCCCAGAGCTTCGCTTTTATTGGTTGTTTCTCTGTCCAATCCGGAACTCGCCCCCTCTTCGTGGGGATCCCCGCTCCCGCCTAATGCAGAGTGGTCGCCTCCAGGCTGAACTGGCTCTTCCAACACGGACCCCTCTAGTAGGCAACTCCCCCGCCCTTAACGCTCTCTGGACATCTCTCTCGTCCAGGCAGTGCAATCTTATAAGACTGCCTGTCCTAGCCCGACTAACCTCTCGGATCCCTACTGCACCCCTCTAACCGGACATACCGTCCCATCTGCAAGCCCGTCTTTGCGGACACACTGCGCTCTTGCAGCAAGCGCTTCCCTGCGCTTATACGGAAGCCCTTCTCGATCCGGAGCCCCAGCCCAGTTTCCAGCAGGAGCCCTGCCCCCACCCCCTACTCGCGTCCACCGACAGCTCGGCTATCCTGAATCCCCTCTCCCACCGTGGCCAACCCCAGCCTCAGACCTGTCTCGTGTGCCTTCCGGAGGAGCCAGGCGTCCGCACGATCCAGCTCGGACACGGGGGGCGGCGAAGCCCCGGCGCGGGGGCCGTGGCCGGGAGCGAAAGACCCCCGGGCACCCCCGCTCCGGGGCCGCGGAGGCGGCAGCAGCGCCCCCCGGAAGCGGAGCCGGGCCAGTCGGGCGGCCCGAGCCCACCACCAGCCGCCTCCCATGGTTCGCACTACGGCTGCCGCTCACCGCCCCGCCCCCACAGGCCACCCGTAGGCTGAAGAACACGTCACTCAGGCCTACTGGCTCACCCATTGGGTTTGCGAACATCACTCAGGTCTGGCCCCCACTGTCCATTGGTCAACACCGTGGTGATTCCTCCTATGTCATCTGTGCCGGTACTGCGCGTCCCACCTTGCTTCTACTACTGGACTACGAATCCCAGCGAACGTTGCGCCATTAGGAGGCAGGTCTTCAGAAGCTGGGGACACGATATCTGCTGGGAGTTGTAGTTTTTGTTAACAACTTTAATTCTCATGGCCAATAAACAAGAACAAAACAAAACTCTGCTTAATGTAGAACCTTAGCAAAATCTGGAAGAGCCTAGAAATGAAAGTAAAACTCAAAATTAATCCTACTGATGAAGTAAGTGCTAATACTTAGTTGTATTCCTGCCCTTTTTATCTAGGTAAATGTAAAACGAGATGTCATTTGACTAACTTTTTTCACGTGACAATAAGTCGTGAACATTGGTGGCATTGAATACTTTTCACAGCATAATTTCTTATATTAAAAACACTGCTTATTTTGAACACAGTCCAAGATGCAAAAGATAGAAAAGGGTCTAATGAAAAGTAATTTTCACCCCACGCCCCAGCCAACCATCCCCATCTTCCCTTCCACGGCATTAAGTTTAATGGTTCATACAGATGCATTATACGTAGGTACCACAGGGGATCCTCGTTCCTAAGTTGTTTCCGATTTTCCCTATGATAAACAATTGCTGTTTCCTTTCTAGTTGAAACTTATGTCTGAGGCAGGAGGGACCTGATCCCACTGGCAAATTTCAGCAGTCCGCTTCTGTCTCTGGGTCCACACATGGCTTTATATATCCCCCTACTACACTGTGTGGTAATGATCTCTATACTTACCTGTCTCTGCCAATAGGCTGTGAGCTTTCAGTGGACTGGGTCCTTGACTGACACATCTCCATGGCCCCCAACCCAATATAAGTAGGGGACTTAGTAAATAATAAAAACAAATAGATACCACGGGCTTCCCCAGTGCCAAAAATTCTGCTATGCACAGTCTGTGCGTGATGTCCTTTAATTCTCATTGTAACCCTGGGAGTTACGAACTAGAATGTTCCCTCTTTTATAGGGAAGGAAAAGTGAGGTAATACAAGTTGATGTTTATTGGGCACTAACCATGTAACAGACACTGTTCTCTTGCTTTACATGGATATGAATCTTCAAAATAGGGGTGCCTGGGTAACTCAGTCTTGATCTCAGCTCAGGTCTTGATCTCAGGATCATAGGTTCAAGCCCTGCTTTGGGCTCCACACACAGCATGGAGCCTACCTAAACAAACAAACAAACAAACAAACAAAACCACATCAATTTTATGTTTACATACTAGCAGGAAACAGTCGCAAAATGAGATTGAAAATAAGTTCCTTTACAATAGTATCAAACCCAGAAATACTTAGGAAATGTTTTAACAAAAGATATGCAAGATTTCTACACCGAAAACTACAAAATACTGCTGAGTCACATTAAAGAAGATCTAAATAAGTGAAGAGATATACCATGTTCATGGATTAGAAAACTCCCTGCTCTCAAGGAGCTTCCTTTCCAGAGGGATAGGCAGAAAATAAGGAATAAACATGCTAAATAAGTAAATCCTTAGGAAAGTTCAAGAGACTAGAGGAGCCCAGAGAGGCTACCTAACCCAGCCTCGGTGTGGAGTCAGCAAGGGGGTGCCTGATTTGAAACCTGAACTCTGAGTAGGCATGGACCAGATAAAGCATGATCAGAGGCTTACAGAAAGAATCTGGAGCCCAGCAAAGCTTACAATGAGTGCAGAAGACTGAACATAAACAATTATTTACCATCATGAAATGGTTTCCTTTCCTTTCCTTTTTTTTTTTTTTTAAAGATTTTATTTACTTGATAGAGAGACACAGTGAGAGAGAGAGAACAGGAGCAGGGGGAGTGGGAGAGGGAGAAGCAGACTCCCCACCAAGCAGGGAGCCCAATGCGGGGCTTGATCCCGGACCCTGGGATCATGACCTGAGCTGAAAGCAGATGCTTAACTTCTGAGCCAGCCAGGCGTCCCAATAAATAAAATCTTAAAAAAAAAAAAAAAAAAAAAAGGATCACACCACCTCCCTACAAAGGTTGGGTTGTATCAGGAAGAGATCAGAAACTTGCAAGACGACAAATGACCCCATCAATAGGTAACTCTCTCTCTCCATTCCTTCCTGAGTTCAAACCTTGCTATCTTTCACCTGGACAGCTGAAACCAGCCCACTTATTGGTCTCCAGAACCCCCTAAGGGTAGATTCTCCACTTATTACTTCAGCAAATATTTATTACCTACTATGTACTGAGCTCTGTTTAAGACAGTGAGGATACGGGAGCGCCTGGGTGGCTCAGTCTGTTAAGCGTCTGACTCTTGATTTTAGCTCAGGTCATGATCTCAGATTTGTGAGATCAAGCCCCCTGTCAGGCTCCACGTCCAGCATGGAGCCTGCTTAAGATTCTCTTTCCTTCTCCTTCTGCCTTCCCCCTATCTCTCTCTCTAAACTAAAACAAAAACAAACAGACAAACAAACAAACAAAAAACACTGAGGATATAGCTGTGAACTAGACAGAAAAATGACATGTCCCAGCCCCTATGGGCAAGACAACACTGGGCAAGGGAGACAAAGGAATAATTAACATAATTCCAGGAAATGTCAAATC